TTATCTCCTGTGAAGGGAACTTCACAACTATTAGGAGAGATAAACAGCATTTATCTCCTGTAAAAGTTCCTTTACCTGTAACAAGAGATAAACAACATTTCTCTCCTGTGAAGGGAACTTCACAGTTAACTATTAGGAGAAATAAACAGCATTTATCTCCTGTGAAGGGAACTTCACAACTATTAGGAGAGATAAACAGCATTTATCTCCTGTAAAAGTTCCTTTACCTGTAACAAGAGATAAACAACATTTCTCTCCTGTGAAGGGAACTTCACAGTTAACTATTAGGAGAAATAAACAGCATTTATCTCCTGTGAAGGGAACTTCACAGTTAACTATTAGGAGAAATAAACAGCATTTATCTACTGTGAAGGGAACTTCACAACTATTAGGAGAGATAAACAGCATTTATCTCCTGTGAAGGGAACTTCACAACTATTAGGAGAAATAAACAGCATTTATCTCCTGTGAAGGGAACTTCACAACTATTAGGAGAGATAAACAGCATTTATCTCCTGTGAAGGGAACTTCACAACTATTAGGACAGATAAACAGCATTTATCTCCTGTGAAGGGAACTTCACAACTATTAGGAGAGATAAACAGCATTTATCTCCTGTGAAGGGAACTTCACAACTATTAGGAGAGATAAACAGCATTTATCTCCTGTGAAGGGAACTTCACAACTATTAGGAGAAATAAACAGCATTTATCTCCTGTGAAGGGAACTTCACAACTATTAGGAGAGATAAACAGCATTTATCTCCTGTGAAGGGAACTTCACAACTATTAGGAGAAATAAACAGCATTTATCTCCTGTGAAGGGAACTTCACAACTATTAGGAGAGATAAACAGCATTTATCTCCTGTAAAAGTTCCTTTACCTGTAACAAGAGATAAACAACATTTCTCTCCTGTGAAGGGAACTTCACAGTTAACTATTAGGAGAAATAAACAGCATTTATCTCCTGTGAAGGGAACTTCACAACTATTAGGAGAAATAAACAGCATTTATCTCCTGTGAAGGGAACTTCACAACTATTAGGAGAGATAAACAGCATTTATCTCCTGTAAAAGTTCCTTTACCTGTAACAAGAGATAAACAACATTTCTCTCCTGTGAAGGGAACTTCACAACTATTAGGAGAGATAAACAGCATTTATCTCCTGTGAAGGGAACTTCACAACTATTAGGAGAGATAAACAGCATTTATCTCCTGTAAAAGTTCCTTTACCTGTAACAAGAGATAAACAACATTTCTCTCCTGTGAAGGGAACTTCACAGTTAACTATTAGGAGAAATAAACAGCATTTATCTCCTGTAAAAGTTCCTTTACCTGTAACAAGAGATAAACAACATTTCTCTCCTGTGAAGGGAACTTCACAGTTAACTATTAGGAGAAATAAACAGCATTTATCTCCTGTGAAGGGAACTTCACAACTATTAGGAGAGATAAACAGCATTTATCTCCTGTAAAAGTTCCTTTACCTGTAACAAGAGATAAACAACATTTCTCTCCTGTGAAGGGAACTTCACAGTTAACTATTAGGAGAAATAAACAGCATTTATCTCCTGTGAAGGGAACTTCACAACTATTAGGAGAGATAAACAGCATTTATCTCCTGTAAAAGTTCCTTTACCTGTAACAAGAGATAAACAACATTTCTCTCCTGTGAAGGGAACTTCACAGTTAACTATTAGGAGAAATAAACAGCATTTATCTCCTGTGAAGGGAACTTCACAACTATTAGGAGAGATAAACAGCATTTATCTCCTGTGAAGGGAACTTCACAACTATTAGGAGAGATAAACAGCATTTATCTCCTGTAAAAGTTCCTTTACCTGTAACAAGAGATAAACAACATTTCTCTCCTGTGAAGGGAACTTCACAGTTAACTATTAGGAGAGATAAACAGCATTTATCTCCTGTAAAAGTTCCTTTACCTGTAACAAGAGATAAACAACATTTCTCTCCTGTGAAGGGAACTTCACAACTATTAGGAGAAATAAACAGCATTTATCTCCTGTGAAGGGAACTTCACAACTATTAGGAGAGATAAACAGCATTTATCTCCTGTGAAGGGAACTTCACAACTATTAGGAGAAATAAACAGCATTTATCTCCTGTGAAGGGAACTTCACAACTATTAAGAGAGATAAACAGCATTTATCTCCTGTAAAAGTTCCTTTACCTGTAACAAGAGATAAACAACATTTCTCTCCTGTGAAGGGAACTTCACAGTTAACTATTAGGAGAAATAAACAGCATTTATCTCCTGTGAAGGGAACTTCACAACTATTAGGAGAGATAAACAGCATTTATCTCCTGTGAAGGGAACTTCACAGTTAACTATTAGGAGAAATAAACAGCATTTATCTCCTGTGAAGGGAACTTCACAACTATTAGGAGAAATAAACAGCATTTATCTCCTGTGAAGGGAACTTCACAACTATTAGGAGAGATAAACAGCATTTATCTCCTGTAAAAGTTCCTTTACCTGTAACAAGAGATAAACAACATTTCTCTCCTGTGAAGGGAACTTCACAGTTAACTATTAGGAGAAATAAACAGCATTTATCTCCTGTGAAGGGAACTTCACAACTATTAAGAGAGATAAACAGCATTTATCTCCTGTGAAGGGAACTTCACAACTATTAGGAGAGATAAACAGCATTTATCTCCTGTAAAAGTTCCTTTACCTGTAACAAGAGATAAACAACATTTCTCTCCTGTGAAGGGAACTTCACAGTTAACTATTAGGAGAAATAAACAGCATTTATCTCCTGTGAAGGGAACTTCACAACTATTAGGAGAGATAAACAGCATTTATCTCCTGTGAAGGGAACTTCACAACTATTAGGAGAAATAAACAGCATTTATCTCCTGTGAAGGGAACTTCACAACTATTAGGAGAAATAAACAGCATTTATCTCCTGTGAAGGGAACTTCACAACTATTAGGAGAGATAAACAGCATTTATCTCCTGTGAAGGGAACTTCACAACTATTAGGAGAAATAAACAGCATTTATCTCCTGTGAAGGGAACTTCACAACCATTAGGAGAGATAAACAGCATTTATCTCCTGTGAAGGGAACTTCACAACTATTAGGAGAGATAAACAGCATTTATCTCCTGTGAAGGGAACTTCACAACTATTAGGAGAAATAAACAGCATTTATCTCCTGTGAAGGGAACTTCACAACTATTAGGAGAAATAAACAGCATTTATCTCCTGTAAAAGTTCCTTTACCTGTAACAAGAGATAAACAGCATTTATCTCCTGTGTGGAGAGGTTTAACTGTCCCATGTTAAGTCAGTTTGGAGAGGTTTAACTGTCTCATGCTAAGTCGGTTTGGAGAGGTTTCACTCTGTGATTCCTGGTAACCAGAAAGGTTATCAAGGTGAAGCTTTACATGAACTTAAGGGGACTTGATTTGTTTTATGTCAGACCCCAAAACAACTTGTAAAATAGGCATATCACATTGTGTATTTTGACTTGAGACTACATATATAAGCTAGAATCTGTATTGGCTGATGATGAGGGTATATGCGTCAGGAAGAAGGTTTTTCATGTTCAGGAGGGATTCAGTTAATTTAGGAACTATGTTGTAGCTCTTTTTGATTTTAAGCTGTTTTTGAAGTTTGAAGACTGCACATGTTTGTCTGGAATAGGACAAGACATAACCAGGTGCCTGTATGTAGAGAGACATCATTTCTCTCGTAAACATTGAGTTTTATGGCACAGTAAGGTAACATTGGATTCTGTCATGTACCAGAGATTGATTTGTATTATTACACAACAGACACAAGTAAATGACTGCTTTCAATACAACTTTAGAATTCTATACAGTATTGTCAAATGATTAAATTGCATCCAGCTGTCCACTTAGGACCGGTCAGTTTTGATAAGGACCATAATTGTTAAAACCAAGGATGTAACTGAGGAAAATCTAAGTTGGTTGAAAGAAAGAAATATATAAAACAGGAGAATGTTTTGATGACACATTTTATTGGATTAGGATCAAAATAATTTTATAAATGTTGTTAATTATGAATTCCACAAAACAAAAAACAAAAAAAAACAAAACCGGAAAGTATTATTTCAAACATCAACAAAATACAGTTTGTGTGGCTATAAGAATGGTGTTTATTCAGTAATGAACTCGCCCACATTTCCTGCAGTTTCTGTAAGATTTATCATTAAACTGATGAAGTTTTCATTCCTTGCTAATTGTAGAATAAATATTCAAGGTTGAAGTCGCATATTTCATCACAAAAACCTGTCTATAAAGTCCACCTTATTTCAAAACCAGCAATTGTCTGCAATGGTCACCTCTGTATAACAACCAACTGCTTGTAAAGACCATCCTACATAATAATGCCTGTCTATGTAGGTCACCTCTTTGTAAATACCTGTCTATAAAGGCCACTGCTGTGCCTCTCCATAAACAAACCATTTATCTGTAAAGCCCACCTGTATAGAATAAATACCTGTCCATAAAGCCCACCTGTATAGAATAAATACCTGTCTATAAAGGCCACTGCTGTGTCTCTCCATAAACAAACCATTTATCTGTAAAGGCCACCTGTATAGAATTAATACCTGTCTATACAGGCCACTTGTATAGAACATAAACCTCTTTAAAATGGTCACCTCTACATAAAAAACAATACATAATTATCATAAACCTGCTGATAAAGACCACCTGCTGATAAAGGCCCTTTGTGCCTGCTTCCTTGTGTGGTGTAGACATGTTTTACGGTTTCATACACGAGAGGCAATAGATGATATGAAGTACCTACTGACAGAGCTCTTAGCCTATGTCTGGTAATATGCCCACTCATTATTCTGTTGTTTAATAAAATTATAAATGACTGCTACGTCACTGGCCTGTAATAAGCCCACCCCTTAGTTAAGTAGTAATGTGCTGGTCCTTAGAACTTATTGCAGGATAATTGTGGCACCGAATCTGATGCTCATGGACTTTTGTAATTACAGGTAAACGTGAAAGGGTGAAACCAGAGTACCAGGAGGACACAAACTGTACTGTGGCATTCATGTCCGAGTGTAGCGCCATGCAGAAGTGTAAGGATGCATGCAAGTCAATGGGGGCGAGTCAGTATCGCTGGTTTCACGACCATGGGTGTTGTCAGTGTGTCGGACATACCTGTCTCAATTACGGACTCAACAGTCCTCGCTGCTTCAACTGTCCACCCCCTGAAGAGGTCGACGACCTTGAACAGGAGGAGAGAATTATCCAGAAGATGAACAGAATAGATCAACAAGTTATGGAAATGGAGGAAGAAATCAATGAGGAATTTGGTGAGGAAGATGATGACGAGGATGAACCAGAAGTTGATTTAGATGGCTGAGTGTCATTAATATTCTACGGAAAAACACTAATAGCATTATGTTTTGAAACAGTGTTGTGAGGAGGAAAACTTGATGATTACAGTATATGTGGAGAGTTATCACTCTGATGTAAGTAAAGCTTACAAACGTTTAGGAAATATGGTATAATTGAAAGCCTACTTTCAGAAGTTTTTGCTGAGGAGCATTCATTAAAGTTTGCTTTGTTAAGGGATATATATCGGAAGTAAGTTATGGTGATGAATTTGTTATGTAAATATTTTTTTACAATAAATGAAACAGCGTTCAACCTACAGCTGATAGCATTAAAACACACCCAGACTGTAAGAGATGATTTGTAGTTAACTTAAAGGAATCAGTCAAGCTTGTCAGTATTTGATAAATTGTCTTTTTTTTTATTTTCATGTTATGTGCTACCTTACATGTTACATGTGACATTTATTAAAAGTTGTCTCCCTTATGAAACTACCTGACAGTGTTTTTAAAATTCCAAGTGTGCCCCCTATCACAATCATTCCAAATCACCTCTTTAGGAAACTAAATTCATTTCACAGTAAGGTAGCATACATCCTTAAGTCTCCATGTCACAGTAAGGTTGCATACACCTTTAAGACGCCATGTCACAGTAAGGTAGCATACATCCTTAAGTCTCTATGTCACAGTAAGGTAGCATACATCCTTAAGTCTCCATGTCACAGTAAGGTAGCATACATCCTTAAGTCTCCATGTCACAGTAAGGTAGCATACACCTTTAAGTCTCCATGTCACAGTAAGGTAGCATACATCCTTAAGTCTCCATGTCACAGTAAGGTAGCATACATCCTTAAGTTTCCATGTCACAGTAAGGTAGCATACATCCTTAAGTCTCCATGTCACAGTAAGGTAGCATACATCCTTAAGTCTCTATGTCACAGTAAGGTAGCATACATCCTTAAGTCTCCATGTCACAGTAAGGTAGCATACATCCTTAAGTCTCCATGTCACAGTAAGGTAGCATATAGCATTTAACTTAAATGTAGACCAAATTACATTTTATCATATAAACCGTATCATTTGTTTCATCATCATCATTGTCATTGAGCAGTCTTCACACACATTTCATCAACTGGTCATTGTAGTGATATTTATGTTAAATTATGAATATTGTTTTAGAACTGCCTTGTAGCAATCACATCATTTAGTTGTATTGTCAGTTTATTTGTCTGAATCTGTTCAGTTATCTGAGTAACATCATCATTTACAATACCTGTAACAGGGAGGTCAAGATTAGTTCAGGGCTTGCCTGATGCCAGACTGGCTCATCTCTTGTTTGTATTGCACTCACTTAAACATAAAAACTTTTCAGAGCTTCAGTTTCTTTATATTAGACCAATGCCAAGGATTGATATTGTGATCTAAAAATCAAATCTTACAATTCTCCCTGCTTAATCAGTCAGATTAATGCTTAAAAATGAAACCTTGTTTGTTTGTAATCTTTCCTGGTCAAATGAATCTTAAGGACAATAAAATGACAAGTAAGAAAATTTTTTTAGTGAACTCACAATTTTACTTTTGTGATTAAACATTTTGTAAATTTGTACAAAAACCTGAGTACTTTGTTAAAGAAAATGTAGTTCTGTTGCAGATAACAAGTATTTAATTGATATTAATTGTTTGTTATATTAAATAACCGTTAGCGATTTATCCATTTTTTTTTTGACTCACCAATATGATTTTTTTCACTTTTGCTCTAGTTTTACCAGCCAGTTGGGCTTTACTTTCTTCTCAAGAAAAACACTGAAGATTTGTGAGGAGAAATAGGAATTACTAGGAACACTAGATGATATTGAGAAGTTTTAAAACCGTACACAAATTTTGGCTCCATATTTGAAATAGTTTTGAAGAAATCATTGAAATAATCTTTAAGGCAACAGTATCAGGGGTGGATTTTAAATCTCATAGGCCATAAACGCAAACCCCTTAAAAAAAGTTTGATGGATTGATGAAGGGTGTAACGTGTTATCTAATGTTTTCTAAATCTGATGAAAACCAGCTACTATTAATGAATGTAATACACTATTTACAATTGTTATGGTATTCACTTTTGTATGCAAATAAGGTGCTACACTAAACATTTGGTTTTAATTTCTGATTTTATATAATTTATATTGTTCTTCCAAAGGAAATGTATTTTACCAATTTTTGAGTTTTTATTTTAAAAATCAAATTTTATAATCTTTATAAAATGAAATTGATTTTACTACATGTATCTGTTGTAATATGTATGTTTAAACTTTACACGGTTGTGCATTTATTTATAATATTTTATATTGATCAATTAAAGTGTCTGAATATGTATATATAAATATATAGAGTGAGCAGAAATTATGCCAGAAAATAGCCCTATTGTATTTTCAAAGCAGTTGAAAGGAAAATTCATGTTTAAAAACAAAGAACAAAAACAACTCTTTATTGACCTGTTTTATGTATATTTTTCTCTACATTTTGTGATAACTTCAGCAGATGTCATAAATAACTTTAGTTATAGTAATAGAGAAGGAAAAGTGGACAAAGGGAAATAACTCGTGTCTAAATAATTTTACAGTGATTGGGAAATTTGTGAAATAGTGCTGAGGAAAATTTCTGATTAAAGTTAAGATTAATTTATTTGATCATTTTTTAAATTTGAAGAAAAAAAATGGACACAATTCCTGACTTGGGTGCTTAAAGAGCTATACAAAAATGAATATCTAGATTTCTTCACAATAATTTCCCTTCTTTTACTTCCAGTTTGATTTTACAGACATGTCTGTATGTAAGATATCTTCCAACTTCTGACACGTGTAGTTCAAATACAATCATGATTCAGAGAGTCATCAACAATCACACCACAATCTTATTTTACAGTAAATGTATTTGTTTTTTTGAAATTGCTTCAAAATTTTCAATAATCTTCCACAGAGATTTGCAATCTGATCTGTTTCTCTCTACTTCCCTGTTGTGAGAAATACAAAAACATTTTGTAATTGCTTATATAAAATTTTCTTGATGTTATGGTGAATATTTGATATCAGATTTTCTTACTTTTAAATGAAATTCTTACCAGAAAAATCCTTCTTGGTTATGTTTTCAAACAAACAAAAATATCATAATAATTTGAAGTATTGAATATTTTATCATCTGGCTACAGGCTGCACCATGTGTTTTATACATTGTAAACCTGCATTACCAAGATTTCATTGTCATTTGTGTGGATATCATCAACCTTAGACCAAAGAAATAAACATCTTATTAGCCACTGAAGTGTTTGTGTTTCTGATACACTTAGTAAAGGGATGGGGAGGTATATCCTTAGTTAGTTAGTTGGTTAGTTAGTTAGTTAGCTAGCTAGTTAGCTAGTTAGTTAGTTAGAGGTTTCCACCCTTGGACTCCTCCTGTCTCATTGACAAACTCAGTGTTCTGGCGACTGGCAGGTATATCCATCTCTACAATGCTTGTGTACAAAGTACATATTCGCAAGATAAAACCATAGAATTTGACACCTGATTAGATTTTGATGGTCATTGGCCAAGGTTAAAGGTCAAATGTCACCCTTGACCACTTTGATTTTGAATTAAGAATCTTTTGTAATGAGGACAAGATATCTGGTGGACTCCAGAGCGGGTTAAGTTTATATTCACCCTGTGGCATGCCATCCAACATTTTGGTAGTAGTCAGTCAAGGTCAAAGGTTCTACTATTCCAAGTAAAAGCTTGTGTACAAGATATCTGAATCTCTCACAAGATTTAGTTCATCTGCAAACCATAGTATTACACATGATTAGAATGACCTACATCTTACGTACAGTTTGTACAGTCAAGGTTAAAGATTCAAAAGTCAAACTGGACACACTTTTCAGATAAAAAAAACTAATTATGCATGATATATCTCATAAACACTTAAACAGACAAAGCTTAAAACAAAGATCGTAGACTGGGTGTGTATCTATGTGAACTCCTGCTCTGGTGGATCAAAGTTTGGTTACATAATGATTGTCAGCAAATGCTACTTCCGACTGAAGGCCTGAAGGACCAAGTGAGTTTATGCAGTGGTGAGTCATACATCCATCATCAACTTTCCCGGGTATACAACTTCTTCGGCAAACCAAAAAGCCTAGACTCGTGATATTTGGCCCGAACAATCCATAGATCCAGTTTCTAAAAAGAAGTTTTGTGACCCACGTTCAAGGTCACAGGGGTAACATTTGTTAAAACCGTTTGAACACATTCGCATTGACCAAGACTTCACTGTCATTGATGTGAAATATTTATGTATTTGTGAAAAGCATTAAATACCAAATGAGCGATACGACTGATGTCTCGTTTTATACTTGTTTTATCACATCTCCGACGATAACGAGGTGAACTTCCCTTTCCTTTGTAGCAACATGAGCATCTCACGTTTTATTTATAGCAACACGTGTACAATCTGCATTATGTTTACATATACACAATATAGATTTCCTTCAGGCATCTGATGTGTATCCTGCATGCTTTAAATGAAGTACAAGCGCTATACCAATCAAACTTGGAAGGAATAAATTAATACATTTTAGTAGGGACATCTAGGTAAAATGCTTTTTTTCTTGCGAGTGTGGGAAACTGGGAGGAAACCTTCCCACTCCATCCTGGAGAAGAGCGATTTGGGGCAAAATGTCCCATTTGCATGAATTCTTGGCATTGAAAAAATTACAAAACTCCATTTACATATTATTTATCAAGATGAACTCAATAATTTGGTATTTAGGAGAGGAGACGTTTATTGTAGCGTATTTTGCATTTGCTTAAAAAAGAGCTTACTAGCACAGAAGTACAGGCGAGAACATGTGTGATTCTTGTTTTCTTCGTAATACGACGTTGTTTGTTGTGAAAATAATTAAACGGAGATGTTAATTACAATTAGTATGTGTAGTAAGGGAGATAACTCTTGTTGAAACTAGTAGAGATCCTTCTGAACTAAAACTAACTGTTTGTTGCAATAAACGGGACATTGTGGAAATAATTGTGAAATTCCTAAACAAAAACATCTAACCATCTACCGTCCAAGGAATCTGGTGAATAAAAAAATTAGTTTACATTAAGAATTGATAACGAACTGACGATGTACAACTCATTAAGAATTGATTACGAACTGACGATGTACAACTCATTAAGAATTGATTACGAACTGACGATGTACAACTCATTAAGAATTGATATCGAACTGACGATGTACAACTCATTAAGAATTGATTACGAACTGACGATGTACAACTCATTAAGAATTGATTACGAACTGACGATGTACAACTCATTAAGAATTGATTACGAACTGACGATGTACAACTCATTAAGAATTGATATCGAACTGACGATGTACAACTCATTAAGTATTGATTACGAACTGACGATGTACAACTCATTAAGAATTGATATCGAACTGACGATGTACAACTCATTAAGAATTGATATCGAACTGACGATGTACAACTCATTAAGAATTGATTACGAACTGACGATGTACAACTCATTATGAATTCGAAGACAGTTATGCTTAGGAATTCGAATTTTATTCTTACATTCAATCTCCCGTCGAAAAAAATGCCCGCTTGCTTTCATTGTTTTTTTGAGAACAGAATGTTCTTACTATAAAGAATTAAATAATTAAAACCTGAATGGATGAAAGCTAGGAGGTCTGTGAGGAATAAAATAAAATACAGATTGGAGAATTAACACCAATAAATTTCTTGATTTCAATACTGAATAAATTCAAACGTTGCCTACATGCTAAGAAAAACCTTGTTTGATTATAGAATCCACCATCCACAGCTTTCAAATACGTATACCTGTTCAGTGATACCGCACATTTCAACATTTGGCCGCGAGGTGACCATGGAAACGGTTGGACATTTCTTTCCCAGTGAAACACGAACATGTACTGTGTGTGTCCAGGCTCGGCCGTCAACTTTATAACAGACAAATTTATTGAAAATTCATCACGATTCCTTTTTGACGATCTACATGTTAAAGGCGACAGAAATAAGGACATATTTGGAAAAATTCATGGCAAATATAACTTTGATTGAATATTTGTTTCTGAATTCGTTCATGTTTTCCCAACAGACGACTCGCATATTCTTTCTTAACAAACTTGTCTTCTTAATTCACTAAATTTGAGGATGAAGCTTATCACAATAGTTCATATAGATTGTGCGATGTCATTTTAAATTACACGTATACAAGAAAATCAGTATTTATTTAGTGTCGATATCGTGGCTCTGTCATTATTGGCCCCCGTCGGCTGTCAAGGTCATCAATGTACTATCGTAAAACACCAATTGGCTGAGAGAGACCATGGTACTGAGCCTCGATCCAGGAAAAGTGGCAGGGCACATCAGAGGTACTGACTCTGGGAGATCAGAATGGGGTACTACAGACTCGGTAGTTTATCTCGATTTCTGAAAAACATGAACAGCTTACCACTGAACTGCTTCTGGCGTGTGCTGGCTTCTCTTGGTTGTGATATTTCCATTTCTAGATAGCAGTATTCCTTCTCCACAATATCATGGCTTCTGTAGAAGTTATAGATAGATTTTCAGAGTTGTTTTCACAGCGTTTGCTGGTTGTATTTTTGTCGCCGTCATCGATGTCGTGATTGGATGAGATATACAGTAAGTTTGTTCAGCTGGTTTAGTGAGGTCTAAACCGTAATTTTCAGTAGTTATAGGTGGTATAACACTCGTTATAACATAACTACTTTGTTATCAATGTAATAACACCTGTGATAACATAATTACCCTGTTTTCTGTTTTTTAAAAACCAGTATCACCGATATGTCCCGTTATCAGTGTCATAACACCTATTATACCATAACTACCCTTTTATCACCAGTCTAATAACGCTCATTATAACATAATTGCCCAATGTTATCAGTGTGATAACACCCATGTCACATCCTGTTGACGCTACGTCATCTTGTGAAAATGTCGTCACAAAATGGCTGCCTCTGTTTGATAAAATTCTCCATATTTCAACAGTGACTTTGTCTTTGTGACTTTGTGAAATTGTCAAATATGTAACTTCTATGAGTTATGAGCTTGTTTTTTCTCGCTAAGGCCAATATTACTAAAGAAAAAATGTGAAATGAAAAATCATTCAAAATCTTATATCTATCTCACACGTGTGATATGACCTAGCTGACTTATGATTGGCTGAAGACTCCAATTATTTTTTTGTGATACAACCTCACGTGTCAAATGCATTGGGACGTCACCAATGCTAGAGATACCGATGATGAGATGTCACCAATTCTGATTTAGTATCTGTCGTATCAAATGGTTTATTCATAAATGCTAACAAAAGAATCAAAATCACGCGATAAACAGAATATTAGACGAGTTTTCAAAATGAAACTCGTCTCGAATCTAACTTCATAAAAGCTCGTTTTACATACAGGTGTGAATGTATCTCATATCGCATGTACGCTTATGTTGCTCAAAAATCTTTATTTATGTTATAACAAATTAATTCTCATCACAATAAAATAAAATTTTAGATGTTTCAATGCAATGTACTGCTTTTAATATTTTAAATGAAACTTTTGAAAATCGTCAGATTTCTAAATCAACTGTTATTGCTTTAGGATGTTTGTAAGACATATGTTTTTGACAAACATAACTGATAGGCAATGTTTATGCGAAGTATCTACACACGATTAATTCTTCAATTTAATTATCATTTTGTAGTCATTAAAAATCCTGCAAGTCATTTAAAAAACGTATCCTTAATACTCCAGGGGTTACGATCACTTCCGCTCTCTGCACCCCTATAACATGTCATGGCAAAATTGAAGGCTCTGTAGGCAAACACTATATGGACAAGACTAGCTTGGTCCCTTCATGTATCAAACGAAGCTCGTGGTCACAAAACAGGGCATAAGCGTTTTTCAAACTGTTATATATCAACATCAGCTTTTGTCTTGAAGGTGTTTAAGAATATATCAATATGACAAAGGTTAGATAATTACCGAAATGTATATTCATAGACACGCGCATGTAAGTGACCATGAAAAGGCAACGTGCACTGTAACCTGAGCGAGCTAGAGGCTAAAGCGAAAAAATATGGATCTTCTGTCGTAGTGTATGTTAAATGTAGCTAAATTATGATTGAAAAAAGTACCAGTAAAACGTAATCTGCTGACCAAACTACAATGCTTCTAATTCTCGTTACAGGGCAACTATTGTTGAAAGTATTATTCCCCTCAATGGTTACGAGGAACTGAG